TCCCTCTCCACATACATTCCATTCAGGCTAATCTGGATAGGGTTTGAAGTAGATTATAGGGCCTTCTATGGTATGATGTCTAATATAGTGGTAAAAAATATCTCTAGAGTCAGTAAGGATTGGAAAGAGTAAGAAATTAACTCTAAGAGTAAATGATGAGGTGAAACACGTAGACAGTACATAGAATTACTTAATCAGTGTATTAAGTCTTAATTTAAGATGAATTCAAGATGCATTACAGTGGGATGTTACAGCTTTAAAAAAACAAAAACAAAAAACGTTAGATTAGAACTGGTCAGATTTGAGACCATTAACAATGTTAGCATTGATAAAATATTAACACCTATTTTATTTAAATAGAGCAGGTTAACTCCTCATTTCTTCACCATTACTGTATATTAAAGGGGTGGTATAATGCCCTTTTCACAAGATGTAAAATACGCACCGTTTTTGTCTCTGTCCCTTTACATGCAAATGAGCTGCTGCTCCTGGCACAGAGGACGGAGCTACAACAACTTGTGTCCTTGGCAGCTTTGATTACCTCACACAGACATGCACTGAAAATTTCAAAAACGTTTAGCCTTTTTTGTTCAAAGCGGAGTCAGAAAGATGGAGAGACTCAAGAAGAAGTGACAACATGTAGACAACATTTCTGAATGGTTAGTTGATGAATTTTATGTAGCTTATGTGGAGTTATCTTCTAGTCATTGATTAGCACATTCTGTCTTGATAGTTTATAATTCGTGTTCCGGGGGCGTTGTTTATGTAAATTTTAGGGTTAGTGATGTCACTAACCCGGGAGGAATGTCGTGTAGTCCCTACCAGCCGTTTGTTGTAGTCCTTAAAAAGCAATTTCTTTAAAAGAAAATATCTCCCTTTGCTTTGAACTTTGAGCGTCGTAACTTTGCAGATGTTGTTTATCCTCAAAAAACAACATTACACACTAACTAAAGTTAGGAAAGTGAAATCATAATCAACCACCCCTTTAAGTTAAATTCAGTTTATTTGTATGTGCTAAATATAAGGTTTAATAAGTCCATATCCCCCAACCCCACCCCACAAGAAAACAAACAAACATACCATAGTGTCCCCACAATCATTCCTTACAGCGCTATCTTGAGGCCAATTCTCACAAAAACCAGTAGATAGCTGGCAGGAGGCAAACAGATAGGCTATACATTTATTTCATTGAACAATTTACACTAGAAGTTTCTCACTTGAAGGCTATGTGTGTTCTGTTTTTAGACAATCTTAATTATTAGGAATAATTTTTTAATTTGCAAAGCCTCATTGTCATTACATTGATTCTAATTATTTAATTAAAAATCAACAGATAAATTGTCCTTCTATAAAATAGCTGGTGCTCTGTCAGTCAATAATGATACTATATTTATTAATCACTGCGCAATCATGAGGCAATCCAGTAAAGTTTTAAGGAAGTTACTCAAAAATGTATTGTGTAAAATATAAAAGAATGTGGTAAGAACTTCTGATAATATATGAAATTCCCAAAAGCTATTTATCTACATGTTAAAAATAAAATAACTGAAATGTCATGCATGGTCCACTCTTAAGAAAAATGGTTCTAAACTACCAAATTATGGTTCTTCGGTTTGTAAAAATGGCAGAATCCTTTTTGGTGCCAAATATAACCTTTCTTATTCCATAAAGGTTCCATAAAGAACTAGCTTTGAAAGTGCATAAAATATCCTGTAAGTTTCAAGAAATCAAAACTTCCTTTGTTAGTCCAAAAACAGCTTTTATTGAAACCGAGCTCAGTCCCGAGTCAAGACAGACAAGTCCCAAGTCAAGTCCGAGTCAAGACAGGCAAGTTCAAGTCAAGTTGCAAGTCCTCGAAGTTTAAGCTTCAAGTCTTAAACAAGTCATTAGTGCTTTTTGCACAAATTAGTGTCTCAGTGTTAATTACTGAAATGTATGTAACGTTCACCAGCTGGAGTGCACTTGAGAGCCACCAGAGGGCACTCCACATCAGACTATTGTCATTCCCTCACAAACTACATTTCCCATAGCTCACTGCCCGGACTCTTCATCCGTTATCACAATCACCTGTGTCTCATTATCTTGTTTAGCTCACCCCATATAAGCCTGGTTTTCTCATTCATTATCTGCGAAGTCTTGTTTAGTGTTACACTGCAATTCCGAGCATTCTCCCTGGTTTCATGTCTCTTGGTTTTGGATTTCTTGCCTGTTCTGTGGATTACTCTTTTGCCTGTGTTCCCTGCCTTGTTGTGTTTGTTTGTATGGACTGCCTGCCTGTGTTTGACCTTGCCTGTACTTTGGATTACATCTTTGGATTACCCTGTTCAATAAATACTGCATTTGGATCCTCACCTTCTTGTCTCGGAGCAGTTCATGACAGAAACACAGATGCATAAGAAATAACTGCTACCATACCATGCTTTACAAGTGAGAGAGGAAACATGCAACATGAATGGAGACAAACTCATGAAGACAGTCATTTAAAAATGATGTGCTACCATACTTAATACTAAGAGAGAACCAATGTGAGTGAAATGAATGTTTGAGTCAGTAAGAGTGATTGATCTTTTCTTTGGGCACTATGATGCATTGCACTTGCAAAAGATCAAATTGGCCAAAAGTCTGTCAGACAGTTGTGCACGATGGGGTCGTAGTATGATGCCTCCATGGCTGAAAACACGCTCCACTGGAGCACTAGAGGCAGGCACTGCCAAGACCCTGATGGCCACTCGGAATAGTGCAGGAAGGGCGTTCCGGTTTATAGTCCAGAACCAGAGGGCGTTCTGTCCTTCAGATATGTCAATGTAGTGACTTAGCTGATATGCTGGAATGGTTCCAATGTTTTGCCTCTGTCTCTCTCTTATGATATGCTGCAAACAGCCCCATGGCGACGTATCAAGCGTCACGTGACACTTTTTGGGTCATATTTACAAAACGGAAATCATCCATTTCTCCCAAAAGACATGAAAGTGTGTGGCTGGTGAACAGGGAGAAGACTCTATAGTTACCTATAGGCTAAAATGTGCATTTATTAAGCGCTCTCTGGCTCAGTGCCAAAAGTGCAAAAGCAGCGCTAATCGGCGCTGTGATCCTGCGTCAATGATACAGTGCTACTACAGTGATTACATCTGATCTGTGGTTTTAGAAGGTAGGTCAAGTCTTTCCAAGTCACAGTGCTCAAGTCAGAGTCAAGTCGCGAGTCATTGTTGTCAAAGTCTAAGTCGAGTCGCAACAACTCATCAGTTTTGGGACTCGAGTTCAAGTCAAGTCCATGTCATGCGACTCGAGTCCACAACCCTGTTATTAGTAAGCTTCTAAACTGCATTGCAATTCCACAAAATGACAGCATACCTTTCTGTTTAATCACAATACACTGGATTTTTCTATCAATGTATTTCAACATGGTCAGCATTCACCAACCACAAAACATCCTAAAAATATATACAACTAAAAGTTGTTCACTTTGTGATTTTTGTTTTTATTTTCAACTGCACATGATCTGTCAAATTGCTCCTTTTTGACCATTTGAAAATAGACAAAATGACTGTAAACCCCACAGTTCCTCGCACTTCATCCATGATCACTCTCCTTAAAACCGTGGAACATTGCAGTTGCAGCTAGAACTCACTTTGAAAAACAGTAAAACCTTACATTAATTATTAAACATTATTATTTAACTGCTTTGACTTTCTACCAATGGCGTACTTAACTCAGAGTTTACTTGCACCGTCATTGCCTCTTGTTATAGAGAAATCTATAACAAAACACCCTCCATCCTGTCAATTAATTTAGATAATTTATTATATTCAATCTCTTTTGCCCCATCTATGATTATAAAGCACTTAATGACGGTGAACAGAGAAGGAACATCCTATAACAACCTAGTTACTGACAGGATGGACGGTGCATTACATGAAATTCCATATTCTTATGGCAAACACATTACATTGCCTCTTTTACATTTCCATAGACAACGGCAAATAACTGACCTCCCTTTGACCAATAACATAATCCATGTCAATTGCAGGAGCTGTTTGATTCACACACATAATGGCAGCACTCATGGCAAATATATACGTGTATTGGTGTTTTTTAATCTAAAATACTTTTTCTCAATTTCTTCCACATTCATGCCTTTTCATTCTAAAACACCTAACAATGACACAGTGAACACATTCAAATAAAGACAAAAACTGTAACATACATTTTACATCAAGAGCTTCTCAAAACCTGATTTTCATATTTTAGCTAAAATAATTCATTTTTAACTTTTAAGTCGTTTTTCTTTTCTTGTAGACTATACACTATTTTTAAATATTATTTATGAGTAATACTGCAACAAAAATAAATATTCAGTAAATGTCATGGTTTGTCATAATACATTTTAGACAAGTACAAAATGGACCTACCCATGCACTCAAATAGTATGCAACAAAATGTTGTTGTATATTTGTCACTGACAGGGGCAAAGCTGTGAATGGGATGTTGAGCACAGTTCAGAAAAAAGCTAAACATCTACTACCACAGCCAGGAGATTGTGGGTAGAGCCAGTGGGATCTTTACTATCCATATGGATATCTCAGCAGAAAGTTTCCAGTGACTGCAGTGAAGTTGCTAGTTCCATGTCCACAGGCAAGTGTAGAAAGTCTTTTTGTGTTGATCAATTTGGCAAGCCTGGGGGCAAGGTGAATTTTTTTTTGTCGTCATTTTTTGGACCACTTTTTTCCCCCAACAGATTTGGTCTGTTATTTGAAGTTGAAGATGAAGTGAAAAGCTAAATTCTGCAAAATGTTTTTCTGAGTAACAGCAGAGCAAACTAAAGTCCCCTGAATTCAGAGAAAATGACTTACTCTTGTGAATCTTGCAAGCAAACATGCAAAATCTTCATACTTTTCACATGAGGACACAGAAAGAGTTTTTGACTTGTCTGATCTTATTTCTTTTTTTTCTTCTTTTTTTCTACCTTTGGTTGTTCAATCACAATAATGGCATTTTTATCTAAATTTTTTTTTTTTTTTTGTAAAGTTCTGCCTCCTGATATGGAAAGCCAGAGGGACTACCTTTATCCCTGCCATATACACTTACTACCTTAACCCTGGCACACTCTGCAAAAATCTGCTTTTCAGCAAGATCTTTACTAAAAAAACAGCATCGTTTTCAAATCTTCACAAAGAAGAAAGAGTAAGAGCCCAACCCCCAAAGTTATTCAACAAAAATAAAGTAATACAGTATGTAAAAAGAATAATCCACTCTGGAAAAATAAGATAAGAATAACCAAATCCTCTTTGGCAAGAAAATTCAGACTTGTGTGGAGAAATCAAGATGGTTGCTTGGCAGCCACTCAAGGTTTCTGAGTGTTCAGCATGACGTTGGAGACAAAACGGATAATGTCTGAAGCAGGCTGGTCTGGTTCCAGCTCAGCAAACAGGTGACTCACATTATCAGTTGTGCTGCCTTGTTTTCGAGCCACAAACCCAAACAGTCTGCATTATAAACCAGAGTGAATATTTGTTAGAGCAATATATTTCTCTCTTTAACTAAATTTGACAATGATTCAATTTTCAATGTGGCATACTCACTTTGCTACACCACCCTCTGCTTTGTTCCACCTGTAAGAACAATGAGCCAGAGGATCTCATTGAATTTAATGGCAAACATATTTCCGAAATGATTAAATGTACATGGATCATGCAGAAAAGTAAACTAAAATATCTAACCAAAACACTCACTTTCTATCTTGTGGGTCCAAATTGCAGTATGTTATCATGTTGATCGGGTAATGACGTCTGAAAAAAATCCTTCAAGGAAAAAGAAGTTTGGTTATACAAAGGACACATGCTTGATTCAAGACAACAGTTTAAAAATAAATCCTATTAAATCCACTCACTTCCTCTGATTGTCGGTGAGTGTAATGCCCTGTATGGACACTTTGAAATGGACAATGGTTGCCATAGGAGCAGATTTGGCAGCAAACGTTTCAGTGATGGCTTTGGCCACAGCCTGAGGACCGGTCAGAGATTCCATATCCACAGAGTTTATGTACAAAACATTACATGCTAGGGGAAAAAGATAAAATAAGTGCAAAATAGAGGCTGCATCCTGAAACTTGTTTGTCTCAAACAACACCAAAACAGTATCATGCAAAAAAAACAACAACATGTCATAGCTATGATCTGAAGTAAAAGCAGAGCTTCAGGATCAGAAAGTAAAAGTCCTCCTCAGTATTTTGTTCCAATCACCTGGATTTGCTAATTAGCACAGCTTTTCAGCCAGGAGATAGAACTAATTAGTGAAATCAGCTGGCTGAGTTCATGGGTGGAATAAACATATGGCAGGACTTTTACTTTCTGACCCCTGGACTTTACACCTCTGGGTAAAAGATACTAAATATAAACTCAGGAAAAAAAGTGCCAAACCACGTGTAACCATATGTACCCCCAGAGGTGTTTGAGAACTTGCAAGTTCCTTGGTGGAAGAGTGTGGTAACGTCTCACAGTAAAAACTGACAAGTCTAGTGCAGTCCATGAGGATAAGATGCACTGTAGTACTTTAAGTGGCAGATTTGGACTTCTACTTTTGATATTAACCTTTAAAAATAAAATAAAAATAAATTGATTTTAACATTATGTTTGTGTTTTAAATACAAAATTAATTCAGATGGCTCTGTTGGTTTGACAAGTCAAGTCAGCTGCTATCACCTTATTCCAGGACCGGTTTCAGGTGCACATGGTGAAAGTACTGTAGATGATGTTCATAGCCAGTAGTTAATACAAAATTAGCATGCAAACCTAGGATAAGATGTGCCATATTTACCATAAAAATCTTCAGTAGGTTTAGGAGGTCCTGAAGTGGTAGAAAATTGACAAGAAATTAGGAGAAAAATAAGATATATAGAGAGCAATAAAGGAAGTGAAAACGAAACAGAAAGAGAGAGACTCACCTGCTCCCTGGTGTAATAATTCCATGGTGGAACAAGTTGGTGTTGCTAACTCCAAGGCCTCTTCATTTGGATCTGTTCACAAATAAAAGTAAGATGAAATACAAATTGACACTGAGTGAAAAAACAGCCAGTGTTTAGGGAACACAAACAAAAACACCATCCACTAAGGCCCTGTTTACACGAAGGGAAAACGCTCCCTGCGATTTGGCCTCTCATTTACACGAAAACCCCATTTTTATCACAGAAAACGATTATTTCTTGTATATTCGTTTCTCTAAATAATCATTGTATAATCATTGTATATTCGTTTCTCTAAATACCCGGCTTTGTGTAAACGTGGCCTGAGAAGAGGTAAATTACAGAGGCTGCAGGAATGGGGTGACAATGGCATTCTCACCTCTTGTAGGAATCATAAGCTTGCATGGAAGAGCCAGAGGTGTGATGGCATGTTGATATACGAGAGCAGACAGACACCCTGTAAAGACACACATACACACACACAAAAGACAAGTTACAGTACACAAACAAGCTGATGGGTGGAAGACTACAGACATTGTATTCAAAGGGTACCAATTTAAGTCAGTGCAATAGACAGCAGACAGAAATACAAACGTCTGTCGGAATTCATTATTACCGAAGTATGGTTCGTTTGGACAACCCTTAAGTCTCACGCCCTTGGCACTGGTTTCAATCAAGAAGTGTCGTACCAACTCATTTGTGATGTCTCCAACTTCAAGGTAAAGAACAAAAGATAAATGAGGAGGAAGGTCTGTTCAGTGATGACTGAAATGATGCCACGTAGTTATTTTACCTTTCTTGTTCTGCTGCATCATTGGAGGGGGAGAGGCTACTTTCATGGCCAAACCATATGCTCCTCTGAACGAGTTACTGTCTCGAATGACAAATGCTCCTGGTTCACGATCTTTAAGAATACAAATGGCTGAAACATACAAATGAGAAAATGTGTCACCAGTCAGTTATACTTCATTATAAAGTGCAAAACACAGTAAACAAAAAATCTTCTGTAATGACCAAAATGGGGCTTTGAGAGGGCTTGGCATTTCTAGTCCTCGAGATCCACTTTTCTGCAGAGTTTACCTCCAATCCTGATCAATGTTTGTCGCGTTCAAATGCTTTGTTGTTTGAAAGAATTAGGAATCATGGAGGATTCATACTTGCCTGTTTCTTGGGGAAATGTTATTTTAACACCATACACCAGATGTTAGACCAACAGAAAGAAAAAGAAAAACACAAACAGTATCTAATACATGTAAATAAATGTTGATAAGTGGAATGCTGCACTGTGACAATGTTTTTTTGTTTGTTGTTGTTGTAAATATCAATCAAAATGAAAAATCTCCCAAAACAATTATCAATAGGCTTAAATCTAACACTATGAGTATTTAAATATTATACTTAATTAAATGTGCCTGATGGATGTAACGACCATGCAAAGCACACAATAAAGATATACCAGTCACAGAAGAAAACGTACTCGGTTACTAACGTAACCTCGGTTCTCTCTAGAGAGGGAACGAGTACTGCGTAATAGCTTTACGCTAGGGGAAAAACTCTTTTCCGCGAGATATTGAAGCCAAAAATTATCCTTTCATTTTTTATTAATGCAAAACGCTTTGCAGCAGCAAGCAAACATAGGCGAAACAGCTCGCGCGCCTATTGGTTGCTCTGCAGCAAATGCAGCAGCCTATCGAGAGAGACTCTGCATGACGTAATGACCAATGGGGGCAATTCGCGCCCATATCGTCACGTCCCGCCAGAAGGGGCGTGGTCTCGCCCTATAAATATGCTCGTTAGGCTGATACAAGCTGGTTTTTATCGCTGAAGCGAACCAGAGCGTATTCCACGCACGGCAAGATACGCAGTACTCGTTCCCTCTCTAGAGAGAACCGAGGTTACGTTAGTAACCGAGTACGTTCTCTTACGAGAGTATCTCTCGTACTGCGTAATAGCTTTACGCTAGGGGAACACAATGCAACACGCCGTGCGTAAAGGGATCCAACACCAAAGTCCCAGGGGCCGAAGCCCAGGGCTCATGTAGTGCATAATCACCATAAACTCACATAGAGTAAAGGAAGAGAGGCTGGAAGCGTCATTCCCTATAAAAAGCACCCAGCGGGGCTATTATATGACCATCAAACGCGCAGCCAGGGTGAAAGCATTCAGCCTGATCTGGGTGGCCATACGTGAGTCAACACTCATGGGGCTGCAGTAAACTCAGCATCTGGGCCGCAGAGCGGGGCAGATAGCACTGAATTTAGACCGCCAAAAGCTTAGCTTGTAAGGCGGGTACCTCCAGGTTATAGTATTTTATAAATGTAGACGGCGAGGCCCAGCCCGCGGCCGTACAGATATCTTGCAGGGAAACCCCGCTAGACCATGCCCACGAAGAGGCCACGCCTCTCGTGGAATGCGCCCTGACACCCAAGGGGCAATGTAAGCCCTTCGCAGAGTAAGCGAGCGCGATGGCATCCACTATCCATCTGGATAGGCTCTGTTTTGAGGCGGCGAGTCCCTTGGAACGCCCGCCGAACAAAACAAAAAGCTGCTCCGTCTGTCTGAAAACAGACGAGCGTGCCACATAAGCTCTCAATGCCCTGATGGGGCAGAGGAGACTTGCATCCTCCTCCTCACTGAGAACCGGAAGGGCAGACAGGGAAATGACCTGGGCCCTGAACGGCGTGTTGAGGGATTTCGGGACATACCCGTGTTTCGGTTTGAGAATGACCTTTGAGTCATTAGGCCCAAACTCCATACACGACGCGCTTACTGAAAGCGCCTGTAGGTCCCCTATGCGCTTCACTGAAGCGAGAGCCATGAGAAACACTGTCTTGAACGACAGGTGTTTCATGTCCACCAGCTGGATTGGCTCGAACGGGGCGCCTTTCATGGCCTCCAAGACCGTGGAAAGGTCCCACGTCGGGACTGAAGGGGGCCTTGGAGGGTTCAGCCTCCGAGCTCCCCTAAGGAAACGCACGACTAAGTCGTTTTTCCCAAGCGACTGGCCAGACACCGGTTTTGCAAACGTTGCTATGGCCGCCACATATACTTTGAGCGTGGATGGGGTCCTGCCCTTATCCAGTAGCTCTTGAAGGAAGGAAAGCACTTCCGCAACCCCGCACTCCACAGGTGAAAGGCTCTGGTGAAAGTGCCAGATCGAGCCCTCCGCCTGAGAGAGGAGGTCTCTCCTCAATGGTACAGGCCATGGGGCAGTGCTGGTCAGCTGCATCAGGGCAGGGAACCACGTCTGGTTCGTCCAGAGCGGGGCTACAAGCAGCACTGGGCATCCGTTTTCCCTGATTCGTTCCAACACCTGAGGCAGGAGCGAGACAGGAGGAAAAGCATACAGGGGGCAGCGGGGCCAAACATGAGCCAGCGCGTCCTTGCTTTTCGAGAAAAACTCCGGGCAATGAGCGTTTTCTTGGGACGCGAATAGGTCCACCTGAGCTCTGCCGAACGTTTTCCACAGCAGCTGGACCGTCTGCGGGTGCAGCGACCATTCCCCTGCTGGAACGTTGTTCCTGGACAGTCTGTCTGGTCCCACGTTCAGGTGACCAGGCACGTGCGCCGCTCTCAGTGAGAGCAGGTTGTGCTGAGCCCAAACCAGGAGGCGTTCCGTCAACCTGTAAAGGTTTCGTGACCTGACGCCGCCCTGGCGATTTATGTATGCCACCACCGACATGTTGTCCGACCGGACCAAGACGTGGTGGCCTGTTATCTGGGGACAAAAACGCCGTAGCGCTTTGTCGACTGCTATCATCTCCAAGCAGTTTATGTGAAGGAGCTTTTCCCGTTCTGACCACAGGCCAGCTAGCGGTCTGCCCTCGAGCAGCGCTCCCCACCCCGAGGTGGAGGCGTCCGTAGACACCACCTTCACGCTCGAAGCGGTCCCCAGACTTACACCTGACTGATACCAGTCGGTTTCTCTCCAAGGTTTCAGAGCTGAAACGCACTGAAGGTCGACCCTGAGGCGAAACAGACCCGCTGTCCATGCCCTGGGTGGAACCCGCGTCTTCAGCCACATCTGCAGTGGGCGCATGCGGAGCAGGCCCAACTGGAGTACAGAGGCTGCTGAGGCCATCAGCCCCAGCATTTTCTGAAACCTTTTGAGCGGGACTATCGCGCCGTGGCGGAAGGATTTCACGCCGCGCTGAATATTTAGCACGCGCTCTGGTGACAGGCGTGCTGTCATGGACAGCGAGTCCAACACGGTTCCCAGAAAGGAAATTTTCTGACTGGGAGACAGTGAGCTCTTCGCCCAATTGACTGTGAGGCCCAGCTTCTCGAGGTGCTCGAGCAATGCGGCCCTGTGTTCTATGAGCTCCGATCGTGATCGAGCTAGAATCAGCCAATCGTCCAAGTAGTTCAGAACTCGCATGCCCTGAAGTCTCAGGGGCGCGAGCGCCGCGTCCATGCACTTCGTAAATGTACGAGGCGCTAGGGACAGGCCGAACGGCAGGACTGTGTATTGATATGCCTGGCCCTCGAAGGCGAATCTCAAAAATCGCCTGTGATGGGACGCTATTTGTATTTGGAAATAGGCGTCTTTCAGATCTATCGACATAAACCAGTCCCCGAAGCGCACCTGCGCGAGGATTTTCCTGGTCGTAAGCATTCTGAACTGGCGCTTCACAAGCACTCTGTTCAGCTGCCGCAGATCTAAAATGGGTCTGAGACCCCCATCCTTTTTCGGTACCAGAAAATATCTGCTGTATAGGCCCCCTTCGCTCTGAGCCTGAGATAAAGGTTCTATAGCCCCTTTGCTCAGTAGTTTCGCTATTTCGGCACGAAGTAGATGAGATACTTCGTTTTTCACCGTAGTTTCGACGCGCGCCGTATAACGGCGCGGGCGTCGAGCGAATTGTAGCGAATAGCCTCTCTTTATAGTGTTCAGCACCCATTCTGAAACCCCGGGAAGCTTTGACCACGCATCTGCGTGAATAGCTAGAGGCAGAATGAAATCCGGGCTCTGGCCGCGACAAAACGGCAGCTCGAGAGCCTGGGCATACTGGGAACACAACACCGTGTTTACAGCGTTCGAGGCGGGGGGCGCGCTGATCACAGCGGGCGACCTGGCCGCGCTCAGCTTTTTTATGGCAGATTGTGCAGAAAAAGCGAGCGGGGGAGATCCCGTGGGAATCGGCGTGTCTGTGAGAAAATGTGGGCGCGGGGCTGCGGGCACATTTAATACACTGAAAACACTGTCGTTCATGGCCGACTGAATGTGTGTTGGTTTCGTTTTTACAGAAACCATGGGACACGCAGCATGTAGTGTGAGCGGGCATGGTGACATGGGCGCGTTTACTACATTGTTTGCACAATCGACCTGAGTCGAGTTTATTTGTGCTAGCCCTGCACCGTGGCGGGCTGTGTCTGGGTGTGGGAATGGGCACTGGGTGGGCATTCTTACAACACTCATAACACCATCGGCCGTGGCCGGATTGTTTGTGCGAGCCCTGCATTTTTGCGGGCTGTGTTTGTGTGTAGAAATGAGCCCTGGGTTGTAGGCATTTTCAATACACTCATAACACCATCGGCTGTGGCCGGAATATCAGAAAATACACCATTTATGTGATTTATCTGGGTCGCCGTGGGAACAGCATTAGTGTGCAGGCAAGCGGGCATGGTACTGGCTTGCTTACTGCAAAATACACTGGAACAGTCACATTTTCTGGAACTGAACGAGCGAAAATTTCAGTGGAAGTCTGGCCACGGCGAGACTGAAACACCGTCAATTTCCTAGGAGGCTAGGAAGACTTGTGTTGGTTTCGTTTTACAGAAACCGTGGTAGTGTTTGTGGGCACTGGGTTGTGGGCACATTCACTACATTTAATGCACAATTGTGCGAGCCCTGTACCGTGGCGGGCTGTGTTTGTGTGTAGAAATGAACACTGGGCTGTGAGCATTTTATTACACTTATAACACCATCGGCTGTGGCCGGAAAACCAGAAATACAATGATTTTTCTGGGTCGCCATGGAAACGGCCTTTATGTGCAGGCAAGCGGGCCGTGGTACCAGCTTGTTTACTGCAAAATACACTGGAACAGTCGCATTATCTGGAACTGAACGAGCGAAAAGTTTCGGTGGAAGTCTGGCCGCGGCGAGACTAAATTTTTTATCTGCTGCGAGAGCCGGGATCGAACACGGGTCTCCCGCGTGAAAGCTTCAGGTTCCGCCACTGGGCCACAGGGAGAACTACACTAGCACAAGCAGATAAGAGAGCGTCATCACAGTTTTGTGTGTGTCGGCGTTTGTATGCAGGTGTGCGTGTTATACAACAGGCTCATTGCTGCAATAATGACATTTTCAGCCGCTCAAACTAGGAGCTGAGAAATGTTTGAGAAATGGAGATTAATCCGGCCTCGGCGGGGACTAAAACACACTCTTTTCTCATTTGCCGGTGACGCACGCCCATGGGGGGCGGGGTAGAATGCTGGCCCGTTTCCTTGACGACTCGCGGACAGAAGGCGGAGGTCCACAGAGGTTCAACGGCCTGAGAGAGCAGACGCATCAGCTCAGTCTCAATGCCGGCTCTCTTACCAGTGGTCTGGCGGGAAACGCTAGCGGAGGGGAGATCCACGGAGCTCGCCCAATCCTCACTATCGGACGCCAGAAGAGAACACGCCTCGGAGGGTTCGTCAGGCTCGTGGATGGACGCGGCGGCAGGCGGCGGCCGTTGTCCGTCAGTGAGCGACTCGAGCGAAGCCGGCGAAGCAGGCGGGCGAACCGGCGAGCTTTGGCGGGCTGGAGATAGCTCGGGAGCGCGCTGGGCGCGGCGCTTTTTACGGCGCGGCGTCACGGCGGGCTGGTGAAGGCTCGGAGAATGATGCCAGGCGCGTCCTCAGAGTCACCATGGGCAAAAACTCGCAATGAGGGCATCCGCCGTCAGCGAGCGCGATAGCCGCGTGATCCTCACCCAGACAGGAAACACAGATGACGTGTCGATCTCCATCGCTGAGCGGGGCGCGGCACGAGCCACAGGAAGGCATCTTTAAAAAGACGCTTCTCTTTTTGTGAGAGAAGTGTAAGTCGCGTCAAGTAAGCGAACAAACACTTCTCAACAGAGAAATACACACAGAGTATTTGAAAGGATATATAACGCCGGAAAGCGCAGCAGGTACGGCAGATGAAGGTGGCGAGGCCAGCGACTCCAGAGCTCGTCCCGCTGAAAGGCTTGCTTCGACGGCGCGGCTTCTCACTCCGGATCCAGCGATGCGTGTGCTTCGCTGAAGAGGTAAAAATCAGCTTGTATCAGCCTAACGAGCATATTTATAGGGCGAGACCACGCCCCTTCTGGCGGGACGTGACGATATGGGCGCGAATTGCCCCCATTGGTCATTACGTCACGCAGAGTCTCTCTCGATAGGCTGCTGCATTTGCTGCAGAGCAACCAATAGGCGCGCGAGCTGTTTCGCCTATGTTTGCTTGCTGCTGCAAAGCGTTTTGCATTAATAAAAAATTAAAGGATAATTTTTGGCTTCAATATCTCGCGGAAAAGAGTTTTTCCCCTAGCGTAAAGCTATTACGCAGTACGAGAGATACTCTCGTAAGAGAACTCGGGCATCAAAATGATCTAGGAAACTCGTATTTACGAAATTTCCAATAGCATGTGAAGGCAGCATAAGCTCTGCAGGGAAGTGGATCTTGAGAGCCAGAGTGGCCCACCCCTGTGTTTTATTATGGCCGCTCCTGTGACAGAAGGGTTCGGCTCCACTCTACACGGATTCAGGGAAAACAGTATGTGAAAACTGATATTAAATCTCTCACCTTGTTCCCTGGAGATTTCTGGTTTGTACCAATATTTGGATGTATCTTGAACAAATTTGATATTCAATCTAATATCTGGAGGTCCATCGGCTGAAAACAATAAATGGTTTGCTGAATAGTTTATCAAGTAAGTACACATCTGTTTCTTTTAGTGATTTCATTTATATGGTTAGCTGTATTTCTTATCTTACCATATATTGAGGTGATTTCAGGTCCTTGTGGTGGCGATTGTGTAGGAGTTGGAGCTTTCCTACTTTCTGAGCTGTCTGCTGGAAAACTTTCAGAATTTACTGCAATGGATCCCGCTCTTATGTCCAGGGGCAAGAACAGTGAGGGGCTACAGGATTGCTCTAGGGGAAATGTGGGGGTAGCAGGTCCAGGCTGAACCATAGAAGTGGTGCTTTGCCTGGACTGTGACCCATGTCTCTCATCTGGAGTGGCCTGGCCCCTAGATGGAGCTTTGTGATCTGGGCTAGAGGCAACTGCAGGTGAGGGGTGACGGTCTAGCACAGGACTTGGCGGGATGAATTTGCCACTGCGACCCAAAAGAGGACTGTTGGGAGTGGTTGGTTCACTGCTGCCACTGGCTGTTGGTATACGTCGCCCCAAAGCAGGGCTGCTCTGACCACCAAACCTACGTTGAAGGGCAGGGCTTGGCGGTGTATTGGTGGCCACCGTACGGTGGAGTGTGTTGGGGCTTCCTGGAACATGATGAACACCCATGATGTTAACAGTGGCCTCATCAGGGTTAAGGTAAGTAAAGGTGTCTGGAAAGAGAGGAGCCCGGATGGGCTCAGATGGAAATGATGGAAAGGCAGGCTGACTGCCAAAACTGTTTGGAAACAAAAGAGATAAAAAGAGAAAGTGTGAGTACATAAAAGAAAACAGATACATTTCACCCAAACAAATGAGGACACATATTTTTGTAGTGTAGTTCTTGAGGAACTATGTAATTAGAGATGCATTTTAGCACCATGTTCAGAGTAAAAAAGCCAAATTTGCTCACATCTCAGGCACATGTTAATGTTGTGATTAGTAATTAATGGTAATTCTTTATGATTTGTCATAGTTAATAGTTCTTAATGAGGCTAATCTTATTCAGTAATTATTGATTATCTAATAAGGAAGTATCTCAGTCATAAATGTGTTATTACTTACTGATTAGTTAATCTTGTTTCCATATTAGTTAATAGTAGTAGCTGAAGTGTTAATGTAGCACTACCCATTTTTCCTGCAGTGCTTCCTATGACAGACCATTATTCTGATGTTTTACCATATTTTGGATTTGAAAAAGGGATGGTGGTCAGATAACAGCACTTACCCATCAGAACAAGATTTGCTAACTGGCTGAGGTGGGTTGAAAGTGTGTGCAGGAGGAACTGGTCTTTCAAAAGCAGAGGAGTATGGATGCTGCAATGGAGAAATCAATCCTCCTCCTCGGACTCCTGTCCCCATGAAACCATGTGGCTCTATAAGAAAAACAAAAACATAAACAAGAAATATAACTTGGGAATACGAAAACAATATATATCTGTGAATAACTTTTACTGCCACTGTCTCAACATTATATAATACAAATTTGGGCAGTATGTGATTAAAGCTCTAGGATGAGTTCAAAACAGTTGGTTTTTAACAAAATTCAAAATGGCAGATGGGTACGATGGGTAATATTGTATTAGGACTTGGTCTTGGATGACCGAAATAGGAGGCTTTGCAAATATGGCTGCCGAGTGAACAGACTTTCCTTGAAAGGGACTTTGAGCATGCTCAGGGCATTGTATAAATCAGGGGTAGCCGACCCCGCTCCTGTCCTCCGCTCCTGTGCTGCGTTCCAGTCCAAAATTGTCATGCCCTTCACTCACTAACTTCCCTCCGTCTCGTTCACTCGTTCACGTCATTGCTTACGTTGCATGAGTGCCCACTACTGGCGTAAACTGCAATGGGCTGAATTGGAACGTCCTAAGCCCTTGATCACTTGGAATCAGCTATGGAGTTGATTTATTATTTAAAAAAAATGTCCCTTTAAAAATTTGTTTAATGCAGCATCCAAATGTATATAGATGTGTTTGGGTTGTTTTAAATAAAAAATTTACAAAGTGGAACACACTTAAAAATGGCGGCAGGGATTCCCCCGAGGGGAAGTGCTTAGGGAAGTTCGCAAGTGCGTGTCGAAAAGTGGACTGGAACGCAGCACTGGAGAGCAACAGTCCTGCAGAGTTTAACTCTAATCAAACACACCTGAACATGATCCAGACAGGTGAGTTGGAGCAATTTGGTTCATGAAATATGTATTTTTCTTTTTGTTACACTTTATGCTGCCTTATTAGGAGAAATGTAAGGTGTTTGAGCATGTTTATTTATCATTTGAATTTTACTGGGAAACAACTTTCAGAGTCACCGAGAAGAGCCCTTTGTCAAAATATTTGGTAACGCTTTAGATTACAGCCCGGAAAGTACTGTGTAATTAAAGCGATTTTACAGCGTAACCTTCGGTAATTAAAGTGTACCTATAACGTACTTACAATATAAGTATAAGGGAACAATATGTAAAGTTTGGGGAATAAAGGGGTAACAACCAGGAGAATTAAAAAAATATTTATACTGTAAGTATTATAGAACTAAGGGGTACTTATTCTACTATTATGATACAACAATCTTACATTTGGTAGCAATTTAGTGAGAACTCTGTGTACCTTTTTGAAATAATGGTGAACCAATACATACTGTATAGGCTTTTTAAAAATTACAGGGTACATATCTATGCATTTATAAAGTAATCTTTTTAACAAAACTGCACGGAAAATGAAAACTATTGCAACTTTTGCTTAAATATTGGGGAAAGATACTCTTGTTTCATGTTCCATGTAGTTACAGGGTAAGTAAAATAAAAATGCATACACACAATCTTATATCACTGACTCGGAAACCTTTATTTATTATACAAGCACCACTTACCCTGTAACCACATGAAACCAGATATATTTCCCAGTATATTTAAAAAAAAATTGTAGTAGTCATAGCTTTTCTTGCCTTGAAACCTGTTAGCCCAAACATGAACATCTGCACTTTTGCAGTCAAAAAAATAAATAAAAATAAAATGTTTTTTTATTATAAATGCATAGATATGTACCCTGTCATTTTTAAAAAGCCTATACAGTATGTATTGGTACACAATTATTACAAAAATTTACGCAGTGTATGTTCTCGCTAAATTGCTCCCAAATGTGAGATTGTTGTGTCATAATAGTAGAATAAGTACCCCTTAGTTCTATAATACTTACAGTATATAATACTTACCGATCAGGATTTTTGGGGCCGATCACCGATCGCCGATTACTGGAAGCTGTATCACCCGATACCGATACCGATCACCGATTACAGGGTCTATTTGAAGACTTCTTTTTATCATGTACCATTACTTATTAAACTATATTTAACAACAATGTACATTAAGTATTACATTTAAGAGAAGACAATGCATAATGAATTGACACCTGTGTATTTATTTGCAAGCAACATGTATTATAGCAGCTTGGTTATTGGGAGCAGCTTAGGGCTTGACATACAACTTTCCTGTAGAATATAAAATAAAATGAATAAAAGACAGAACATCTGAGTCTTTAAATTTAGCTTTAGACTACTTTAAACTAAAAACAGCAACAAAAAAGGCTATAGCCAAAATAATGTTTTGAGTCAGTCAGCCATCAGTTTTTCTAATACACTTAAAGGACCACAGGTAGTAAAGTGCACAGCAAAAAAAAAAAAAAAAAAAAAAAAAAAAACTAACAACTTCCATATCTGTATCTATAACTTTGCTTTTTTCTGGGATGCCTAGTCAGATTTTGTGGGTATTTAGAGAGGAAGAGAGAGGTAGAGAAACCTTTTGTGTGTGTGTGTGTGTGTGTGTGTGTGTGTGTGTGTGTGTGTGAAATAATTCCCTTGCAAAATTATTTTAAACAGATTAAGAAAGCCACCACTACTGGTCACATCTATGGTTAGATTGATTTTTTTTAGATCCAGTGAAGTCTGTCCCACCATGTACCTAATTCAAATAAATAAAACATCTTCAGTTAACTAGCAGATCATTCATTTAGTTCGCTATTAAATAAGAAATCTAGCGCTAAAATGTGTTTTTGAACTCAAGCTGCGCGCTCGTTGCCGCGGCGATCAGTTGCATGGATACACTGCTCTGTGCCTCGCGCAGGCTTCACTCGGACACGCGCTTAAATCTATCGCCGTTGCGGACTCTATTCATTCTGGTGTAATCACTGGTCATTGGTTGTTGCGTTAAATCTTACCCAGATACAATAGTGCTATTTTCTGATTGGCTATTGTGTAGCTTGACGAACAGCACCAGAGGAAACGCGCTTGATTCATGCCGGTTCCACAGTGAGAGCGGCGCGGCCAGAGTTTTGGCCGCTGCGGCATATTAAATATATTACAAATAGTTTTTCAGCGTGAGAAATACAATGTGTGGCGGGAGAGCGTGACAAAAGACCGAAATGAATGACTGTCACGCTCAATGCTTGACACTTGAGAGCCCTGTTGTAGAATTGCCAGACCGGTGAAGCCATTTTTACCAGGGCGTAAAAAAATTGTCTCGCAAGTTTTGCGTCATCTGATTGGCTTTTCTGGATCGGCCTTTATAGAGACCGCCGATCACACATCCCAAAGCAATTATCGGCCGATTATGATCGGCGACCGATCAATCGGAGCACCCTTATTACAGTATACATATTTTTTTAATTCTCCTGGTTGTTACCCCTTTATTCCCCAAACTTTACATATTGTTCCCTTATACTTACATGTAAGTACTTTATAGGTACACTATAATTACAGAAAGTTACTCTGTAAATTCCTCTTAATTACACAGTACTTTCCGGGCTGTAATCTAAAGCGTTACCAAATATTTTTACACTATAATACTGAAATACCATTTCAATAGAACCCACATAAACAAGAAGGGTTTTCAGAAGTTAACAGGAGTGAATGTGTGCAGGAGGGAATGTGTAGCATTCTTGAGCATAATGACATCATGTCATTGTATGGGTTTCCACTGTCATCTCAGACAAAAATAACTCTTACCTTCCATACCATCACTAGAATCAGAATCTGACAGCGTCAGACATAAAAAGAGAAAGAGGAGCAGTGACAGTTTTTTTTTTGGGGGGGGGGGGGGGGGGGGGGGGGTTATTAACAGTGTGAATGTGGTGAGAATGCAACTATATTGGACTATATTGGTTTTATAGGAACTCACCTGAGCTGCTTTGTTGTACCAGAGCTTCTGCAGGGTTCTGGGCCTTCAGGCCTGTGGCTGGCAGAGTGGCCTGCCCAGAATGGCCTATTTAAACAAAAGGGGATAAAGGCAGGGAAAAAAAGACTTTGATTGTCAGGTTTAAGCTCTCCATCTCAAAAATGTTATAGATATATATCAATGTCAATAATTTAAGCAGTAAGGATGTGCCCTTGATGCATGCAAATGGCCAAACTCAGAAGCCACAAGGAAGACATGAGTCAAGCAGGGAAATATAGAGTGTTGGCTCCAAGAGTGTTGAAAGTGGAAAATATAAGTCACTTTAAGTTTTATAATAGGCTTCCCTTAAATCATTAGCTTTGCATGAAGGAGCTAAACTACTCACAATATACATACGGAAAGTATAGCTAATTTCAGAGGTAGTTACAACAACAAAATCAGTTACTACGTATGTACTGATACATAGTATCCAACCTCGCGTTATGCATGGACCGCTTCTCACACCTTTAAACATGCTGATAAATAAACAAACAAACAAATACATAGGTCAGGGTAAAAGGCATTTAAGCATTCAGCATTTAGCCTAACCTTGCCACAGAACAGTTTTGCAGCCTCCCTTGTCACAGCAGATTCAGCAATTCTATGTAAGTTCAGTATTCAATGCAAATTCTTTTCAAGAATATTTTCATCATTGTTTGGTATTTGAAAGCTATAACTTCCATATGTGCTTAGTCCATCCAAAACATTTTTCAACAGAGGAATTAATATTATGATGGAATGGAAGTATGCAATGTTTTTCACATTCTGTAAGTGGTATACAATTAATAAAAATATCACGAAAGTAAAAAAAGCAATTGTTATATACAAAAGACATTACCTTCACATTTACCTTTACTTTTCCTCACCTAAAGTCATGACATAATTTTAACTGTCCATAATATATATACTTTTTGTTTATTGTTTGATATGAATCATGATTTCTGCAGGAAGGCTAAAATTACATGTTAAAGAGAATGTGGTAATGTTTTTGGCGACACAGGAAAGGTAGGGGTCAGGACAGGAGATATGTCTCACCACCACTATTGCGGGTAGGACTAAAAGGAACTGATTCCATCTCCTCAAAGGCATCCCTGTAACTATGCACAGGCTTCTGAAAGGGAAAAAAAACGTGTTCAATCTATCACAATAATAATCTATTGTGCTATGTACGGTAATACAACTGAGAGAAGTAAAACAAATGTACAATAACTTATTTAAAACAATACAATGTTAAATAAAATGTTAAAGTTAAATTATATACATGTATTTGTAAAATTATATACCTCCTTGGGTTGTCCACCTGGGTTCATTGCAATTGTGTTGGCAAATTCTGGAGACACAGGTTTCAATGGAGAACACACCCCGAGGGCTGGACTGTCATTTTGGCTACTGAGGTACTGGCTCTCACTGGTGGTTCGTCGGCGTATAGTTGGCATGGCTTCATCTGGGGTTACTATACGTGAATGGGATCCTAAAGAACATGGAAGAGTGTTCTAAGTTCGTTAAACAAATCCAGATCATGTGCAACCAGGGTCTAATTTTAACTTTTTGCCGATGCAGGTGAAAATATACAGGCCATAAATATTCCTTACTTTACTGTATTTTGCTAAATTTCTATTAAATGTGTATTTTGTTTCTAATATCACAAATTACAGCCATTTTACTAAGGTAGACCAGGCCCTACATTCTTCAGTGGCCTCTGGATGCAATGTTTTTGATGACTGAACACTCCTCAGATCCGAGCCTTACATATTGTGTACCAACATTTGTGATCATAGCTGGTTGCATTCAAAAGTTAAGGCCATTTCAGTAAAAGTGGAGCAGCCATGTTGGAATTTAAACTTTGACCTGGTTTTGATATGAAATCCTATTTAAATTTGCATTAATTTATCCAAGCATTCCAGTGATATAAAACTAAAATAAGATGAGGCAAGTAAGATGACAGAGACAGAGAAAAGAGAGAATAGAAGGGAGTAGGGGACAGAGTGAGAGGTGGAGGATTGTGAGAGGGGACAAACCAGAGAAGGAATAGGAACGATGATGTTCGGACCGGATGGACATGCTCTTGGAGATGCCCCGGATGCGAGCGTTGTACTCTGGGTGGAGGAATGGAGTGGGTTGAAGTAGAAGAAGAGGAGAGTGCAGGTGGGGTATCAGTGGTGTGAGGGGTGGTCCACATGCCAAAGCAGAGATAGACAGAAGGGTGAACAACAAGAAAAATGAAGAAATGGTGAATCTGAATTGTAATTTCTGGACCTTGTCATATTTAATTATAGTACAACTCTACATTACTAGAATCTGTTTTTGTAATTATATGTGGATTTCCATATGTGACTAAATAATTAAGTAACCAAAACAATATAGTGGCCTGCTATAGTACTGAGCGGCACAAGAGACACAACAGCCTCCTTAGAATAAGTTTGCTTCAGTGAGCTCTTCCCAGCAATTCAATTAATTGCCAGAAGGTGGTGCTACTATGTATTTTCCTGTAAATTCAATAGTCTGTTGTTCAAACCAGAGAATGCATGGTACAGTAGCTGAAGCACAGCATGGTAAGGGTCTATTCTGGTTGCTGGTGACTTACATCTATGGAGCTATTCACTCCTACATAGAACACAGCGTTGATGTGAACAGTGTGATTGTCTGCCAGGAATACTTTACATCCACATGAGAAATGATGACACATCTATAATCTCCTTTCGTCATTCTTTAGTGTGTAGGTCAACTTTATAGTTCATTATTAGAACATGTGTTCATTGTGTATCCATGCAGTGGGACATACTTTTCAGGGAACTTTTCCAATGTTTATATATTTGGTCTAACTCCTATAGGACTAAATCAGGAGATAAAACTTGATGACAGTTTTATGGCTTACCAGTGCTTGGTGTATTATTTTCTTTGTCAAATATGATTAAATATTAGATCATGCACTCTATTTGAGTGAGTGAGATAACTTGTCCATATTCCGAAGAGTTATATGAAAACAGGAGAAAACTAAGATATATTCTCATGATGTCAAAATGAGCACTGAGGCTAGGTAGAATCATGTCCTGATTATCCATCAAGTTGTCACTTACAAACTTCGATAATGAACCATAATTGTGAGCCAGCTTCAGCTAAAAACATTTTTTCTTGTTTTCTCTAAACTACAGAGGTAAAACCAAGAAAATGTATTACATAATCAATAGATTATTTATAGATTTTACAGATTTTTTTCTTCTTCAAATTTCAAACATCTTGCATATGCATAAAAAAATCATGTATTCAGACCAAACTGTTTCCATCTTCCTTACCTGCCACACGTTGGGCCACAAGACCCTCAATGTTTAGCATCTCTTCCTCAGACTTCGGCTCAGGCTCTTTTACAAGGGTAACAGGGGGAAGTGGTGATGACGATGTGCTGTAGCTTCTCTGAGGGCCTGGGAATGTGCCCTGAAGATCTGGAGAGTAAGACACCTCACTAGTTCCTGGGTAGACATACTGGGGCTTGATTGGAGATGGGAGGGGTAAAGTTGGGGATGGTGTTGTAACTGAACCTCCGCGGATACTGTAGGGATCTTGCTGATAGATTGGTGAATGGGCTTGAGGGGACTGAAAACCCCTTTGATGATGCTCAGATAGTGGAGTCATGGGGTAAGCAGGTGATGATCTTTGTGAGGACTGGCCAAAACTGGCAGAAGAAGAGAGAGGTGGGCCACCAGTGACGCTATAGATGGCCTGGTCAGCCTGGTAAGAAGGTCTGGCTAGTGTCTGGGCAAAAGGTGGTTGGAAAGCTGAGATGTTCTCACCAGGGGGAGCACTCTGAGATTTGGGAACTGGTGTATGTGAAGGCTCCAAGTCAAGCATGAGCATATTTAGGGCATCTATAGACTGTTCTACATCCTGCTGTGATCCTCCTCCACGAGTTGGGAAGTGTGGCAGGGTACCATTCGAGCCAAAGAAGGGGTCATCCACAAGACCATATTGATGCCAAGCACTGAGCCCTCGCTGCACTGCCTCTCGGCTGCTGGTATTACGTTCAGGAGCTTGTGGCATGTACCGGGGTCCTCCATCCAGCACCAGGCCACCATATGACTGCGAGCGATACATTCCTTCGTTCTGCCCACTGTAGTCTATCAGTCCATGTGCTGATGAAGACCCTCGAAGCTGGTGTACAGGCATCTCCTTTTTAGGCCTTCGCTCTAGGAAAGTACCACGTTGTCCGTCTACTTCTACTACAGTGGATTCAGTGACTGCTTTTCTGTCAGCTGGTGTATCTTGACCCTCAAAGGAGGACAGTGTGCCAAGACTGCCTGCACTGTTATCTCCCACCTGGCTTTCCGGTAACTCGTCGTCAATAATATCAGTTTCACGCTCAGCACCTGCTTGTCCGTTAACGTGGACCTGGGCAGGCACAAGGTGCCGCACACCACCCCCTGGGCTTGTGTTGGCAAAAGAGAGGAAATTCTGATGAGAGAGATGTGGTGGTCCCTCAGAACCACTCAGAAGCTGTTCCAACTCTCGGTTCTCACAAGGGCTGATTGCAGTCTCAGGGGGAACTTGGCTCACAGGGCCTGAGCATGACAAAGACTGTTGAGCATCATCTGTGCGGTCTGTCTTAACAGAAGCAGTGGAGTTGCCTGAGTCACTGCTGACAGAAAGGGCGTGATCTGCAGCTGGTAGTGGATGGTTGGCCACTGGAAGAGGAAGAGCGTGTTCAACTACAGGAGGAGCACGGTTAGTTGAATAAGCCCCACTGGCAGACACAATACCCTCAAGAGAGTCTTTCTTCTGAACCTGGACGTAAAGGCTGCTGTTTACTGGACCTTGAGAATGAGCAACGTCTGAAAGAGAGGTTATAAAAATAGCATTAATAGACTCAATTTGTTCGTTTTCTGCATTAAAAATCGTATTAAAAAATTTAAATTTTGCCATCATTTGCTCACGTCATTGAACCTATACATCTTAGTACATATGACACATCCACTATTCTGGACAGTTTCTCTTCTGAAGTCAAATGATAGATTTGACAATGGAGGCCAACAGATCAAATTGAATCCGTTATTAACTGAAAATCTTACCCTCCACCTGAGCTCTCAAATGTCATTTGCGCTCAAGTTCGATTTAAAAAGTAGTGTCTTTAATAAGGATATGCCCAAAGCCTAAATCAGAATTCTAAAAGGCACAAAAAATGTTCAACGGTCGGAGCCCCTAAAGCAGTGGTTCTCAAACTTTTTTCGTTGTGCCCCCTTAATTCTTTAAAGAAATTAACATTGAAATATTTTTTTTTCCTCCAATCTCATATTTTTTCCATCACCAAGGACTGTTTAGGGGCTCCGTAGAATGTGTCATTTCCTTTCTGAACATAGCATTCAGCTACGGGCACATCCCTAGTCTTCAACATACAGTACAAGGTTTGACGTTGACCTTTGGTATGATGTGTCATGTGACCAATCATGACACAGCAAGTTTAAAAAAGCATGATGATATTGGAGGGCAAAGGGGAAGATTTTCAGTGAACAACAATTACAATTTTATTCTGTACCTTGCACAACCTATCACAGTTAGAATTATTTAGAACACCTTCTGTTTGAGTCTCTTCTGCTATTTGCATATATCATATAATCAGCAACAGATCCCCACATCAGACATGAACCTGTATGGATGGCTGCCTATCCTGGATGGTAACGCATCCAAAAGCAGGTCAGTTTTAGCATCATCACACTTTTAAAGGTCCCATGACATGCTTATTTTTGTAGGCTTTGATATAGGCCTTAGTGGTCCCTAGTAATGTATCTGAAATCCTTTTCCCAAAATTCAGCCTTGGTACAGAATTATAGCCACTACAAGCCAGTCCCACAATGAGCTTTCCTTCAGACGTGCCGTTTCGGTGTCTGTAGCTTTAAATGCTAATGAGGAGGAGAAAGGCGGGGCAAGTTGTAGTGCGGGTGTGGCCTTGACCATCTTGCGGCAACAGTACCATGCATGTTTACATTGGATATATTGCAATGGCACGCAGACGCGCAGTCGTTCAAGCATTTCAGTTTGACCCAGAATCTGATCCGGATGGAGAAGCAACGGATGAAGAAGTTGCAACTCAGCGGCTCCAGCAGGACATCTCCGAATGGTTAGTTTAAAATATTATGTCTGGATACGGTACTTTATTCGGATGGTTTACGTATGCTGTTAGTTATTATCATGTAGCTAATGCTAGCCTACTGTTGCCTTTTCATGTTGCTCTGATTTGCTATCGTTTTAAACCTGTATTAGCATTTATATCAGTAATATTTGTAGTTTAGAGAAGACTGTAATGTGGCTTATTTTTTGAATGACAAAGTTCTCCATGTCCTCGTATATTGAAGTCATGTTACACATAACCAATGATTTACACTTCAAGAGTTAACTCTACTCAACACCTGCAAATATATATATATACACACCAGCACCACTGTATTAGTCAGACCTCTGCCATTATTACATGTACCTTTTTGTATAGGTGCCGTTGTGGAAAATGTGCTACCATGCAGTATGCACACAGAAGCTGAGAAGGATGCAGGAACTAAAAAAATACTCCTGTGTTCATTTGTACATTCTATTATTGAGCAACGGCCGTGCTTCGCTCGTTCACCCGCCATGTCTCTCGAGGAAAAACTCAAATCTGCTAATTTTCTCATGGGCGGGTCAAATTCTCTGGGCGGGAAAAGCAGAGAAAAGGGGAGGTAACTTTTCCCTGTATGACGTCATACGGGGAAGATTCAAGATCAGCCCGTCTGAGCTTTAATTTTCTCAAAGACGGAGAAAGATAGCCAAAGCTCGGTTTACACCGATTGAAATTTCTAGACACTGGGGGATCATACACAGGCTAGGGGAACTCATATTAATGTTAAAAAACCTCAGAAAGTGAAAATTTCATGTCATGGGACATTTAATGTTAAAAAATTAGAGAAGAAAAAGTTATTGGCCATCACAGATTATGCACAAGTTTGGGCACCCCTCTGAGGTTGCATGATAATTTTCTCTGTCTTTTTAAAAAAAAAGATCGTAGTGATATGCCATTCCATTTCTAGAGAAAGCTGGATAATGTGATGTTTTTCAGACAAAACTTCTTAGTGTAGCAGTTTTGAGTTGTATGAAATAAAATCAAATGTGAAAAATAGGCTGTGCAAAAGTTTGACCACCCTTTCAATTGTGTTGATTTGAATACCTGTAGTCACTAAATGCTGATTGATTGCAACACATAATTAATTTAATTGGCTCAATGAACAGTAGACTGAAAACACAGGTGCTTGCTAATTGCTAGTTGTGTTTCTCTTTGATTATCTACTGGAAAGTTTCAACATTTCCAACATTCCACCTCAAAAGTACTCTCTAATAACTTAAAAACTAGGATAATTCATCAATATGAATTAGGAGAAGGGTACAAAAAGTTATCACAAAGGTTTAAGGTCTCTGTCTCCACAGTCAGAAACATAGTTAGAAAATGGAGGGCCACAGGTCCTTGTGAAGGAAAGATGTGGTAGGCTAAGAAAAATATCTGAAAGGTGAAGAATGGTTAGAATGGTCATAGAAAGACCACAGACCACCTCCAAGGAGCTCCAAGAACATCTTGCTGCGGATGGTGTCATTGTACATTGCACTCCACTCCAACTACATTCCACTGTCCAGCGCACTTTGCACAAGGAACAGCTCAATGGAAGGGTGATGCAGAAAATGCCTTTTCTGCATACTGCCAACAAGCAAGTCGTTTGAGGTATGCAAGCTCATCTGGACAAGCCAGAAATATTTTGGAATAATGTGCTGTGGACAGATGAAACTAAGATAGAGTTATTTGGTCACAACCAGATGCGCTTTGTTTGGCAGAAAAATAACGTCTCAGGTTACGACTGTAACCGTAGTTCCCTGAGAAAGGGAACGAGACGATGCGTCACTTGACGCTTTGGGAACGCCCCCAGCGTGCATGCGTCTGAGCATCAATGTCAACTAGTCCAATGGAAAGAATGAGCGTCACGGGCGGGTGACGTCATGACCAGGAAGGGATAAAGGCTCACCCGGTGAAACGCGGCATTAGCTTCAAAAAGTCGAAGCAAGCCGATCACAGGGAAGCAGGAAGTATGGCAGGGTGACGCATCGTCTCGTTCCCTTTCTCAGGGAACTACGGTTACATTCGTAACCTGAGACGTTCCCTTTCGAGGGAACTCTCGATGCGTCACTTGACGCTTTGGGAACGAGAATACCCAAAACGCCAGAATTCCAAGTACCTGAGTGTCAGTCTGTTGGAACTAAGCACTAAGCACCTGAGAACCTGGGGCAGCATCCAGGTCCAAACTGTAAAACCTGACGAATGTGAGCGGTGAGGACCAGCCTGCCGCATCACAAACGTCTTGGAGAGAAACCCCAAATAACAAGGCTTTAGAGGCCGCCATACCCCTCGTAGAGTGAGCTCTGACCACCAAGGGACACGGATGGTCAGAGTACTCGTATGCAAGTGAAATAGCCTCGACTATCCACTTACTAACCGTCTGTTTAGAAGCAGGAAGACCCTTCTTAGGTGATCCAAAGCAAATAAATAACTGGTCGGACTTCCTCATTGAAGATGTCCGATGAACATAAGTATCCAGTGCTCGCACTGGACACAAGAGGTTCAGCCTTTCCTGGTCCGCAGATGTAAAAGGAGGACAGAAACCTGCAGCACAATAGGCCTCGGAATAATGGTAGGCACCTTTGGAACATATCCATGTTCCGGTAAGAATGCCTTGGCCATCCCCGGTGCACTCAAGGCAGGTGGGGACCGAAAGGGCCTGAAGGTCTGACTCTAATAGGGACGAAATAGCTAGCAGAAAATAGTCTTAAAAGAAAGGAACTTCTCTGAGACCAAATCCAAGGGCTCGAAGGGAGCCCCAGATAGGCCTTCTAGAACTATTGCAAGGTCCCAAGCCAGCACCCAGGTGCAAGTTGCAGGCCTCAGCCTCAAAGTGCCACGAAGGAAACGAGTGATCAGGGGGTCTCGACCCAAAAATGTACTACCCACCAGGGCGTGGAAAGCCGCAATGGCCGCCACGTATACCTTAAGCGTGGAAGGACATAGACCTGATACAAAGCGTTCTTGCAGAAACTCGAATACTGTGTTTACTGAACAGTTAACCGGATCCCACTGATGCTGGTAACACCAAGAAGTGAAAAACTCTCGAAATAGTGAATATAGTTTCCTCGTAGCGGGAGCTCTGGAGCTTAGAATGGTCCCAACAACCTCGGTTGAGAGACCACTCTCTATGAGTTGGGCCCCCTCAGAGGCCAAACCCACAGTTTCCAAATCCCCTGCCGGGGGTGCAATACTGAGACAGAAGGTCTCTCCTGATCGGGACCTCCAAGGGAGGTCCGTCGAGGAGAAAAATTAGGTCCGCAAACCAAATTCAGCTCGGCCAGGGTGGAGCTACTAAATAGGCTTATTCCATCCTGGCGGAATCACTCCAGAACTCCTGGGAGTAGAGCAACAGGGGGAAATGCGTACAGACGTAGCCTCAGCCACGTCTGCACCATAGCAACCAGCCCCGAGGGGACTGGTTGAGTGAGGGATAACCAGAGTGGACAGTGCGTCGTATGCTGAGACGAGAACAAATCCACTTCTGCCTGGCCATTAAACTCCCATATTTGCTCCACCGCCTCGGGGTGGAGTCCCCTGGCCTCAGCCCCTGCCTCGACAGGGTGTCTGCTCCAATATTCTGGCCCCCCTGGAATATACACTGCCCTCAGACAGCGTAATTTCCTGAGGGACCAAAATAATAGGCCACCAACGTGTTGTCTGTGGGTCAGGAACCAGAGATTCCTCCATATAACCAAGGCGCGG